AAATGAGGGGTACAATGGCTGATGTCAGATGAATTGTGGTTGAAAACAGAGGATACCAGGAAGTTTGTCTGTGTTTTATTGACTTGGCAAAAGCAAGCAATGGTCTGAATCATAAGAAAGTATGGGTAGCATTGCAAAGAACAGGAATTCCAGAACATTTAATTGTGCTCATGTGGAACTTGTACATAAACCAAAACCAGAAAGGAATTCAATGTGGTTTAAAATCAAGAAAGGTGTGTGCCAGAGTTTTATCCTTTCACTATACTTCCATCTGTATGCCGAACAAATAATCCAAGAAATTGGACCATATCAAGAAGAAAGAAGCATCAAGACTAGAGGAAGACTCATTAACGCCTGTGATAGACACTTACTGAAGAAGATCAAAGACTAAAGCCTTCAGTATGGATTACACCTCAACATAACGAAAACAAAAATCCTCACAAATAGCCCAATATGCAATCTCATGATAAATGACGAAGAATTGGAAAGTATCAAGGGGTTTCTTGTGCTTGTGTTCATAATCATCGCCCGCGGCAGCAGCAGTCAAGAAATCAAATGGTGTATTGCACTAGGCTAACACAACACAGAAGACCTCTTTACACTGTTCGAAAATGAAGATACCGCCTTGAAGATTAAGGTGCTTCTGGCCCAAGCCATGGGAAAGCCAGGCCATGAAGGAGGAACACCAAAGAAGTGATGCCTTTGAATTTGAATTCTGGGGTTGTAGAAGAATATTGACTATGCTGTGGACTGACAGAAGAAGGAACACATCTGTCTTGGAAGAGCTACAGCCAGAATGTCCCTTAGAAGCGAGGATGATGGGACTTTGTCTCACATACTTTGGGCATGGTATCAGGAGGAACTAGTCCCCAGAGAAGGATTTTTTGTTTGTTTGTTTTAAATCGTTTTATTGGGGGCTCATACAACTCTTATCACAATCCATCCACCTATCCATCCATCGTCTCAAGCACATTTGTACACTTGTTGTCATCCACGTTTGGAGAAGGGTCTTATGCTTGGCAAAGGAGAGGGCCAGCGCAAAAGAGGAACTCTCAACAAAGTGGATTGACACAGTGCCTGCAAGCCTGAGACAAACACTGCAATAAAGGGGAGCGTGGCACAGCACTGGGTGCAGGGGTCCTCCAACTTTTTAAACAGGGGGCCAGTTCCCTCTCCCTCAGACCCGTTGGAGGTCCGGTCTATAGTTTTAAAAAAAAAGCTATGAACAAAGTCCTATGCACACTGCACATGTCTTATTTTGAAGTAAAAAACAAAATGGGGCAAAAACACCCGGC